AATATAACTTACCTGAGAAAGAGCCATCGCTGACCCCCTTGTCTTTCCTCCTCCTCCACCGCTGGGCTTCTTCCTCAGGCAACAAACAAGTCTTTACAAGTCAATCTGGAAAGTTGAAATATGCCTTTACCAACATACCTCCTTCCTGTCCACCACCGATCACACAAGGAAAACCTCAGCATGTGGAAAACATGGTGTCTGCTGCCCCTGGCACAAGATGCATTTAGGGTCAGTAATTGCTTCTCAGAGACCAACAAGTGAGGCTGCCCTCTTGGTAACGTCTTCACATACACTGCAGCAGTGAGAACCTCGGCTGACCCGACACTCCCCTTCAGGTCACAGACGTGGCCCTGATTTAACCTGGTGCAGGGCAAAGCCCCCACATCTTCACCTCACACCTCCTCCCCCAGTAATGAGGACCCAGAGCCTTGCTGCTCAAAGATAAAGATTAGTCTCACCTGAAGCACTTTAAATATTACTGAGACTGGGCCCAACCCAAATGTTTCACCGACACGTTCTTCTCAGGGGCACAAAAGATGTCACTGCAAAATGCCCCAGCAAATCTAATGGGAAGCGCCATGTAGCACTGCTCAGAGGTTAAGACTAGCACATCTCCCACCTGCTTCTTTTTTCCCACCTTAATTGAGGCATAATGGACAAAAAATCTATGGATATTCAAGGAATACGATGTGATCAGTGAAATATATAAAATAATTATCACAATCGACTGACTACATGGATCAATTCACAATAACCATTTTTTATATCCGAGTAGTGAGAACTCTAGGACTTATCTCTCAACAAATTTCGAATATGTAATACAGTGTAATTAAGTGTACTCATGATGCAGTACTTCAGATGGTGACATCTTACCAAAGTCTGTACTGTCTAACCACAATCGCCTCATCTTCTCCATTGCTCGCCCCAGTAAACCACCATTCTCTCTGGTTCTGAGTATGATTTCTAGACAGCACATATGCCAAGTTGATACAATACCTGTCTTTCTCTGTCTCTATTCATCCGTGTTGTTCATTCCTTTCTTCATTTTTACGGCTGAGTAATATTTCATTGCATGTGTAAGTATATGGATCACACTAGTGTTCTCCATTCATCTGTCAACACTTTCAGGTTGACTGCATACCTGCTCTTGTGAATAATTCACAGATATTTCTTCAAAATATGATTTCCATTGGATATATATCCTGAAGTGGACCCCCACTCCTTATTCACTATGTATTTCCTTCTCCTTCTATATATCTACCGCCATATATCTTTCTTTTTTGTTATTCTGCTCGCTTTGTTCCCCTCTCCTGAGGATGTTTCAAGAACATGTACTGGGGAGCGAGATCTCAAATGCTCCCTAGAACAACAGTTTTGTAGTTTCTTTTATGCATCTGAAATTAAGAAAAGAACATAAGGTAGATTACTTGAAGATGAGAGAAAGCAAGGCAGGGATAGGTTACAGGACAGCTAAGGAGATGATGATGTGCTCTCCTGAGAGTGGTCATGTCTGGAGAAGCATTATTTCTAGCACATCAAAGGTGTGTTAACCTGGATGCATAAGCATAAAGAACAAGACTGACTTGAAAACCTTAAAAAATTCACAAGCCTGGGGTGTGACTAACTACCATGACTACCTAGTTAGGAATTCTGGTTCACTACAGAACTCCTTGTTCCTCCACAGCCCCCTCTTTTGCTTACAGTCATCTCCCTGGAAATCCCAATTTTCTCTGAACTCTACCTACCTCCTTGCAAGTCTCTCACTCATTCTTTACATTGGCATCTGTTCTCCTCACTCTGCTCCCATCACTTTCTCTATTTCCCTCTCTGGAGCCCCGTTTCTCCAGACTCCCTCGCGCATAGGAGTGGGATGGAATAAGAGGCCTGACTCCCCGACGAGCACATTTCCTAGTTGGGTGGAATGTGGAACGGACGACCAGTAAGGGGAACAGGGCACGTCCAGGTCACCCCCACAACCGCGGGATCAGAGGAAGGAGAGGCCTAAGGAGCAGAAGGGCAGGGGTTAAGGGGAACAGATAGACAGGGCGGGGAAGCTGTCTCAGGAGAGCGGGGAGGACTCCAGAATCTCAGTACCAGGGAGAGGACGCGGCGTCTCTTGGGCTGGGATGCCCGGCGCTACCTCAGGGACCGCGAGGGCGAGGCCGGGCCGCGCACGAATCCACCTCACTGAATGTGGCGAGGGCGCCTGACAGGCGGAGAGGTCAGGGAAGGGTTTTACAAAGGAAACCCAGGCGAAAGGCGGATACGTGAACGGAAAACGGAGAAGCGGGAGGCAGGGAGCAATCCCGGAGCCATTTCACACGCCAAGGGAAGCGCAAGAGCCCTTACAGCGACACAGGAATTTTCTTTTTTTTTTTTGGACTCAGGAATTTAAAGAAGGAAGGGCCGGCTGCGGGGATGATAAGGTCCATGGCGACCACAGACCCCCTATATGAAGAAGGGGGAATGTAAACGCAGGTTTAGGCTAGAAAGACGGAAACTCACGCTGCGCAATGTAACCTCTTCGCCCGGATCCCAGCTTCCTTGTCTGCAAGAAATGGCGCGGATAAAAGTGAGGGGCGTCCCGGGGAAGATGCCTGGAGAGAGGTCAGGATGGCGCAGTGGCCCATGGGAAGAACAAGGAAAGGGCCGTGGGGCGGGACAGGAGAACCCAGGGGCGGGACCTAAAGGGAGGGCCGTCCTGGGCGCTGACTCTGTAGGGGGCGGGGAAACAGGCTTAGAGGCGGGACCGGTGTGAGCTACATAGGGAAGGGGCGGGATCAGGGATAGACCTCGACTGCCCTTGACTGAGAAGAAAAAAAAAATGTTTACGGTCATACCACTCTGAATCTGCCCGATCTTGTTTGATCTCGGAAGCTAAGCAGAGTCGGGCCTGGTTAGTATTTGTGAGACCACCTAGGAATACCAGGTACTGTAGGCGTTTAAAAAAAAAGGAGAAAAATAAATCTGGTGTAGGTAGGGGGGTAGGGGCGTGGAAGGGGTGGAGTTCCAAAGGCGGGACATGTGAGAGGCCAGACAAGCGCAGTGACTGCGAGGATTTGAAAAGTAAACGGTGTAAAGGCGTGGTGCTGGCGGTGCTTAAGCATTCTAGGGCTTCGCTCCCAAGATTTCTTTTACGGATGTCTTTAGCCCCTGGCGGAGCAGCCTCCTCATGTTAAGTTACTATGTCCAACAGTTTTAAGAAAAAATATTAGAGTTATGTGAGCCACTTGAGTTGGAAACTACGATGTTTCCTCTTAAGTTAAAAATGATTTATTTAAAAACTTATTTTTGCGAGCTGGTTGCATGTAACTTCTGCTGGTGAGGCTGAGGCAATGCAGCGGGAACTGGGATGTGGCCACGGCTGGGACCCAGGAATATTTCTGCAACTGGAACTAATGTAAGCAGTTAAACGGGCAGTTGCCCGGGAATGGTTTATGAACTAGAACGTGAAATAAAGAGCTCTCTCAGTAGAATAGGCAAGTTCATACTGACACTAACAAAAGAGCATTTTTTTTTTTTTTTTAGTGCCCATTCACCATGGAGGCCAAGACTCAACATTAAACTTGATTCCACCTACAAGCAATGTTCAGAATAGATAAATCCATAGAGATGGAAAGTATATTAGTGGTGTCCAAGGAGTGGGGAAAGAGGAATTGAAGCACCTGATTCGTGGCTAAAGTATTTCTTTAGTGGCTGATAAAAATACATTAGAACTGGATGTGATATTTGTATAATATTCTGAATGGTATACACTGAATTGCCACTAAATTGTACTTTAACTTGGCCAACCTTATATTATTTAAATTTTAGTTAAAAACAAATGGAGAGCTATAAGTTCCTCCAAGTTATCTATCATGGATCAGTCAGAACACTTGCTGACCAAGTTAATTTTTGCCTTTCTCTGGTCAAAATGAGAACTCTCTCCCTGTTCACTGGGTGAATTGTGTTTTCCTTTCAGGTACAATTCACAGTAGTGGCCAACGCATTCCCTCAGTAGGAGGGACAATGCCTGGACCTGTCTCAGAGGGCCTTGAACAAAGACGTCCTGTTGGAGAACTACAAAAGCCTTCTCTCTAAAAATCACTGACTACATTTGTGTATTTCTGCATTTTCTCTTTTGAGTCTCTCAGAAGCTTCTGGTAATCAGGAATCCCTGTTCTTGGAGAGTGATTGAAGCTGTTTTGAATTGGGAGCATAGGCTTCCTTATGCCTTGGCAGCTTGGAACTGAACAAGATTGCATAATAAAATGATAGTTATTAAGAAATCGGGTAACAGTGAAGACTTTCCTCTTTGGAAGACACTGTTCTAAGCTCCCCTCTGTAATTAATTTATTGATGAATTCTGTGAGCGAAATAGATACTTTAACCTATTCTAACATGGAGAAATTGGAAACAGACTTGAAATTCCTCATGTTCATTCACACAAAGCAAAAGGACATTTTGCAGTGAAACAAAATAGTTTTCTCATTTTATCGAGGTACCTTATGCTGTGACGAAATTATTGAATCTGAACTTTGTAGGGTTATGTTTGAAGCCTCCTTAGAATTAAAAATTGTAAAGCCGAAAACATATGCCACATATCACCATTGCTCCTGGGATTTCTTCACCAAATTCCAGGACTTCCACTACTTTGTTCACAAAGTCCTCACATGAGGCAAGAATAGAACTTAAATATGACTTATTGTAGATATCCTCAGCACATATGTACACACTCTTCCAGGCCTCCAAAGCAATGGAAGAGCAAGCAGATCCTGCCGGCCCCCACAGGCCAAGGGGAGGATGTTGGCCTTCTCTGGGAATGTGATGGACATCATGGAAAAGGTGGAGAATCCCTAGAGGATGTAAGAGCAAGGGAGAAAATGTTGTGGAAAAATCTCAAAACCAATCCAATGAAAAACTGAGCAGTAACTGAGAGAGAAGGAGAATTCAGATTTATTATGTGCCGGCCCAGAGGAGATAGTGCTCTGAAGATCCGGGCAGTGTGCTCAGTGGCAACATTCCTTATATACCAGGATTTTACACAAGCTGATTGGTCAGTTTGAACTCAAACCGTTACAAACAGCGGGAGTTGTTATGCAGATTGCTAGTAATATTGGTAAGGGCAGGAGTTGCTAAGGGTTACTGATGACTACAAATTGTTACAGGAAGCAGGAGCTGCTAGGGGAACAAACAGTTACATCCATTGAACAAAGGGCAAGTAGGACAAAGTGCGTGGGAGCTCTTGCATGAGCTCCTGCATACAGCAAGCAAGTTTACAGTAGCAGAACAAAGAGCTGATTAGCTTTTTTTTTTAATGTAAATTCCTCAAATTTCCTCTTTATTCCTCCCTTTTGATGCCTGTTTAGATTCTTCATAGGGCATCAACCCATGATCTCCCAGTGCCCAGGACTGGTAATTCCATTGCACAAAGATCTTTGCTGTAGTCTTTCTTTGTACTACAGCTTCTACGAGGGAGGTAATTGTCCAGACAACAAGAGGCAATAGGCAAGGCAGAAGGAGGCAGGTACTGAGGAGGAGGAGTACTACTCCAACTAAGGTCTTAAAGACTACGAAGGTAGAGAACCAACCTCCAAAGAGGTTATCAGGATTCCATCCATGCCATACTTGCACAAGCACATGTGCCAGTTTTGTCATCTGCTTGACAAGATCTTCAATTGCTTGGCCCTGCTCATATATCTGTATACAACAGTTAGTGAGATTGAATTTTCCACATACGCCTCCTTCCGCTGCTAATAGATAATCTAGCACCAACCTGTTCTGGTAGATGACATTTCTCATCTGAGCCTGTTGATGTGCAAAGAGAGTCAAGGCTTTCTCAGTCTCATTAGTAATGATTTCTAAAACTGCCTGCAGTTGGATAATTCAGTTCAACATGTAAATGGGGGTTTGGTATCCCCAAGATCCATCTTTTGCCCAGGTGGCAGGCCCATAGTATTAGATTATTCGTTCTGGGGGCCACTCATCCTCGCAGTCCCCTATTTGGAGTTCTCTTTTTACCCTTTGAAGGGGTTATAGGACTGAGTGATCAAGCTGTTCCCCTGTTTTCAGAGATAATAGGAAAAAGGATGGTTTTACCATGTTAATTACACAGCTTCCTTTCCAATTTGTGGGGAAGTGAATATAGGCCATGCTCCCACATATCCAGTAAAGTTCATGTGGGACTGTCCAGTCTCGGGCCCTGCCTGAGCTATGCCAGGCTTCAGTTAGCCCTGGGAATCTGGCCAACAGATTTCTCTTTTTTCTGTTTCCCAGCCATGCACTTCATTTGGACGTAGCATTATAATATTGTTGGCCTGAGCAAATTAAGTTTCTGACTGAGTGTTTGAGATTTCCTCTACCTCTGGCCAGGCAGTATTGTCCAATAATAGTATGGTCTAAAATCCATTGACCATCATTTGAAGTACTGGCATTGCCTGGTTGGGAACCAGTTGAGTAGCTTCCCATGGCCATCTATCTCCCATTAGAGTTCCCCCATATTCATAGTAGTTTTAGAAGATTAAGGTAGTCTTACCTTCTTTGGTGACATGAATAAAGACAGAGCTCACAGTCCTCTGCCCTAATTTTCTTCCCTCCTCAGTGTCCAATTATAAGGAATCTCACGATGAAATTCCCTAGGCTTTGGCTGTGTGTGGACCAGCCAGCTTCCAGTTTGTGGCTGGAGCAGGGCATGTTGTCTTCTTTCTTACGAGAGTTGGTGGAATCCATTTGTGTTGCTCACGATGGAGTTTCTGCAGAAGCTGGCAGTTGCTACTCAAACTTCTGCCGCACATAGACTGGCCAGGTTCCAGGGGTGACCGGAGCAGGGCTGACAATCTTAGATGGACTTCTGCTGCCTCTGGAGTGCGACTTGGAGCAGTTGATCAGGAAGAGGCTCTGCAGTCCAAGTCTCCCAACTTTCTGGAGGTGCTGCCTTCTTTACCCGGGTGTGGGGTGGATTCATGGGGTGATACCTGCAACTTTAAGAGCAGTGTGAGTTGCTAATATAACAGTGTGAGGGGCTCTCCAGCTCGGCTGGAGTGGCTCCTTTTTCCAATCTTTAACCCATACTACATCTCCTGGCTGAAAGGGGTGTACCCAATCCCCTAAAGGGATAAGGGCTCTTTCTAAAGTTACCTGAGTGATGTGGCTGGCGGAGGATCCTCCCTAAGGCCTGAAGGTGTTGGAATATTTCTAGTTAATCTAGAGTTTCCTTTGAACTTTGCTATCACTCGGGGGGAGGGGTGTTCATAAAGGATTTTACGGACCCCTTTTAAAATAAGATGACCTCAGTGTCTTTGCCAGCAGATCCAGAATCCCCTTAATTAACTTTTCTGTCTAATTCTTTTCTACAAGCTATGAGCCCCCTTGTTCTTATATGGATGTTGAGAGATTGGAAGTCTCTTCCATATCTGCTTCCTGCTTAGAATGGTCATAGTCCCTGCCTACTGGGGGTTTCACAGAGCCCTTTTTCTTTTTGCCTTAACCCAAATGGGATCTTGGGTTTTCTGACAAAGCCTAGCTAGAGTGGTTTTGTGGGTCTGGTTCATGCATTCAACTTTCCCTGAACTCTACGGTCTGTAGGTTGTGTGAAGTTTTCATTTGATTCCTAGAGCTTTCGAACAAGGTCTGATTTCCTTTCCTC